GCCAAGTGGTTGTTCTCCAGATTTTCTGGCACAGATTGGTGAGCACGTCCATGGCAGCATCTGTTAACTGAAATATGTCAATTGGTATACCATCTATTCTGGGGGCCTTATTTTTTGCTATTTCCTTCAAAGCAGCTTGAACTTCTGCCTTCATCACCATAGGCTCTTGCTCAAATGTTATTTAATTAAATTTAAAAAAATGTTATAAATACATCCCCATTTCCCCCCCTGTACTTCAATTAATCATTTATACATTAACATGAATTACCACTTCTGCTTTACCAATGATTCTAATACTTCCATTTCAGACAATAGAACGCAATAGCCTAAATCATAACGTTATTTCCTCAAGTGTACAATGTTGTTCTGCACCGTCAAGTCACTTGTGACTCATGGCAACCCTATGTACAAGAGCCCTAAATCCTGCTCTATCCTGTGCCAATCTTATTGTCTCCGACACACATACCCCCATTACCCCAGTGACTGAATCAATCCATCTCATTGAGGGTCTTCCTCTCTTGCACTGTCCCTCCACCCTACCAAGCATGACATCCTCTCCAAGGACTGACTCCACCTTGCAACATATCCCAAGTATGTCAGATGAAGCTTCAGAATCCTTGCCTCCAAGGAGCAGCTTGGTTTCACCCTCTCTAGGATGAACTTGTGTATTTTCCTAGCAGTCCATGGTATATTCAATCTCTTTTCCAGCACCACAGCTCAAAGGCATCAATTCTCCTTCTATCATCCCTAGTCATTGCCCAACTTTCTGGCGCACAGCAACTTCAAAGACCATTCCCTGAATCAGGTGCACCTCAGTCTTCAGACTGACATTGTTGCTCTTTGTACTTGAGTTTGTACTTTGGAGAGCTCTCCGACAGCAGACTATCCCAATGCAATTTGTCACTTTATTTCCTGGCTACTGGTACCAAGAGTATAGATTGTGGAGCCAACCAACTGAACAATAGTGTAATAAAGTGTACAATATACCTATTTGACAGGGTGTCAAACAATACATTATTATTGAATGTTGATGTTGTATACCTTCAAGTCAGAAGCGACCCATAGCTAACCTTACAGTGTATTTCAGAGGCAGTGAATCCTGCTGGAGATAGCCCATCTTTCTCCTGCAGTGCAGCTGGTGGATTGTGAACTGTGTACCTTTATGCTGGCAGCACGACTCCTTGCCACTAAGTCACCAGAGTTCCCTATTCCTTCATGGGATAGATTCTATTTATTGATCACCTACCACCATCAGGAGGTTAACAGACACCCAGTCATGGTAAGTCTCAAGCGTTAGTAAGATATTTGGAATCTAACAGATGCTTAACTCATCAATTAGTTAATCAGAATGACTTGTGGATGGCAGTCACTGCACTGGAAAGTAGGAATGGACTAACCTCTGAGGTTAAGGCTAACTGCAGAATGGGAGTTCTACAAGGTCAAGGATTTCTCTATTGCGTTTACTGCCGTGTTCTTAGAACAGTGTCTGGCACATAGGCGGTGCTCAGTATTTGCATGAATGGACGAACTATATAATGTGTGATGTAAAATGATGCACAATGTATAACACTGTTGACCTCCAATCACTAGAAATCTAAGTGACCTCATCTCTAAAGGGCTATTCTGATGATGCTGAGAGTTGTACTTCCCATTTCTAGTAAAAACATGCTGTTGAAAATTCCCACATAACATGGTTCAGAAGAAAAAGTGGATGAACTGGGCAGATCCCCTCCTGATAACATGCCCCAAGTACACGAGTCAGTCTTGTTATCTTCACTTATGAGGAGCACTTTAGCTGTACCTGTTCCAAGGCCTAAGAATAAACCCTATTAGGAACAACAGTGTGTTGTCAAATTGAACATAGTTTTAAAGGAAAATCAGTTGCAAAACAAAAATATTAATAAAATTATACTTACCTAAATGTTAAAAATGGCCCTGTATAACTGGTAAGGACAATTATTTTAAAAGACTGCTCAGCTTTAAGTCTGCCCTAGAGACAAGGTGGTGAACAACATAAGGTCACAACCTTTCGTCTTCAATGCTAAAGCCTGTGTCCTGTGAAGCCTCAACACAGAACACTTAGTACTAATACTCTTCCTATTTTAACAAGTAGAGGTTATGAGACAGTAATAAGTAAATCATAAAAAGTGCCTTGTAATGTTTATTCTTCTTCAAATGGTATAAGGCAAGCAAACAAGTAAGAATGCCATGTTAAAGAAACCACCACAGCCCAGACTGTTGCAGTGTAATCAAAGTTTAGGGAATTTGAGAATGAAAAACTCATGACTGAATAACAAAAGAAGAGTGCCCATCTTTCTCCTGGACAGTCTCCACTTCTGGTTTAGCAGTGAGCACTCTATGGACTCCACTACCAGCGCTGTCCCTTAATTGTTGAGGGTGAAAGAATAAGGTCATTATTAGGGACTAATTCCCTTTCATACACCTGTCAAGGTTACTTGGCTCCAGTCACTTGAACCATCTCAATTCTGATACTGCTGTATTTGTCACCGAAGTCCAGCTCCTTGCCTGTCATTCCCACTGAGGCTCAGCAAGTGGCCAGCTCTTCCATCAGCAGGGGCTTCTGAGGGCCTAGCGAGACATCTTCTGCAGCCACACATACCTTCCACGAGCTCCTGGAATCCAATCCAGAGCCTTCCTAAAGGCAACTGGAACTCTCAAGAGAACAAAGTTTTCCGTCTCTATAATCCATACTAAATAGCACAAAATATCAAGGTTTGCAGCTATTTTATTTACAAGTATACATTTAACACAATGAAATAAACACTGATATATCAAGCTTAGTTTAGAGTAGTGTAACAATATGTATTTTGATGATTACATTATTTTAAACAACAAACTACACTGAAAAATTAATGCCGGTAAAATTCTTGGTCATAATATTATTAAGAAATACAATATATAAATTGAAAATATGATTGCTTAAAATTTGAAGATGGAAGTGAACTCATTTGGACAGAGTCAGAGTTTAACATAATCTGAAAGTGGGGAATGGGGAGAAGCTCTGACCCAAATGATGTATTTCAGGACAAAAGAAGAAAAAAGAAGCATAGTTTATCATAAAGGAAAATGGGCAGTTTGCTTCTTCAGGTAAAGGTATTCCCAGTGTCCTCAGGTTTTGCAGTAGATTCACATCACTGAGCATGACGACTTTCCTTGCGAAGCTGCTCCATCGATTTTCTCTGCTTCCAAAATTATCCTCCTAAAAACATCAACAGCAGTCTAAAAGAGAAAACCAATCACAGCATTTATCAGTCCAAAGTCTGTTTTTGTTAGGTGCTGCTGAGTTTGTTTTGACTCACGATGACCCCATGTGTGCAAAGTACTGTGGTTACTCCACAGGATTTACAAGGCATCAGGAGAAAGACTGCCAGGCCTTTACTCCAAGGTGCCTCTGGGTAGGTTAGTAGTGGAGTACTTACCTGTCTGTGCCACCCAGGGTCTCCAATGCAGACCCTCAAAACGACTGTTTTTGAGACATCAGTTGTAGCTTTATTTCAAAATATATTGCAAATTCCAATGCAATTCCAAGGTCTAAAATGTCAATGTTACTTACTCCCCCCTCCCATAATTGTGAATTTATTAGGAAAGTCAAAAGGCTGTAATTCAGGTTGGGAGCAGGATACGACTGCTATGACTGTTCAGTCAGACCAGCTTCCGAAACATGCTCACAGGCACTCCAGCCTTCAGCCTATGACTCCAGGCCAGTGTTACAAAGCTCTTAGTTCCTGCCAATTACAGCGTCTCCCACCTAGTCCTCCTTAGGCAAAGGCCCCTAGCTCTGGTTCTGTGAGGCAGTAGTTCAAAGTCAAAACTACTTCTGTTGCCTTCAAGTACAAGTGGAGAGGTGGAGGTCATGCTGTGAGTGCAACAGGCTTCAGGTAAGCTCCAGGAACCTCAAAAGTCATTACTTCCCCATCCCCCACTCTGCCCCTGCAGCTTAATATCCCTTTTCATCACCATTAGAATCAACCCAATAGCACACTTTTGTTTGTGTATCACACTATGCTTCATTCACATTCTGTTTCTTACAATCATTCCCACTCATTATGTTTTATAAAATTAATCACCAGTGAACTATGTCCACCACTACCCTATCTCTCCATCTTTCCAATTTCCTTTCCCAAGACCCTCCCACCTACCAAACTGTGTGACCCTATGACTTCTCACTTTGGGTCCTCATACCCATTTTACTATTTATCCTTCTATTTTTATAATAATGGTCTTATACAGTATTTGTCCATATGCGACTGAGTTCACTCAGCATAATGCTCACTTTTCACCAGTACTTTCAGCAATTTTCCTGCTCTTTCCCCCACAATTAGACAAACAAGTTTTTATGGAATCTACTACTAAAAAGTCTTCCTTTTTGAGTCAGATGACCATATGATATATTACTCCGGAGATGAAAGACAAGGAAAAATGGGGTTGCCTTCACAGTAAAAAAAGTAATTTCTAGATCCATCTTGAAGTACAACATCGTGAGTGACAGGATTATATCCATACGCTTACAAGGAAGTCCAGTGAATACCACTATC